AGGAATAGTGATTTGTGAGTGAGAAGTAGCTGCTAATACCAGGCTTGGGCAAGTTGCAAGAGTTTGCTCTTTGCTTTGAGAACAAGTTCAAGTCAGTTGGTGGGCCCTTTCCAGGCAAGGTTTGGGTATGAGAGGTCTGGGATACGGCAATTCACTGGGCTTTAGGAAGGAGTAGGAAACGCTCCTGTTTTTTGACCTGTTTTTGCATTGCTTGATGTGGGGACTTCAGGACAAAAGCCAATCTGTTGGGTTTCCTAAGACAGTGCTGATGTGTCCATCCCTTCACTCCGTGTCCAGCGTGTGCTCTCTGCTCTGTCAGCCCTGCATCAGATGAGTACTGAAGGCTTGTTTAGGGAGATACTGTGGGTATTTGGTTATTAACGGGGAAACAACGCAAACTGCTTCAGGGGAAGTGGAAGAAACGAGAAAAATGTTCTGTCCTGAGAGACCAAGCCTACCTTTCTTGTAATGATCCACTTCACCCGATGGAGGTTTGAGCTGCCTTATGTCTAACTAAAATAGACACGGATGCTGCCTCCATTCCCCAAATTGTGACGACGCTGAATTAGGATAATGAAAGCAGATGATACATTTAAGTGCGTCACGGAAGTGTGGGCAACTGGGCCCTACAGTAATTTAAAAATAAGTATGTATGGGATGAGATTAGCAAATTTGACAGTGCTCAGCTAAGCAGAAGTATCTGCCAATTGCAAGCAGCCCATTCCCAATGAGACCTTCCAGTGTAGCTGCGGGCTTCTGTTATGTACGGGGACAAAACCAGCATGTGGCTACTTTGATTTTTGAACAGGAATTGCAGCAAGCAAATGTGACACAGACTGGGAGGAATATATGTATACCTCTTCTTTTTTCCTGCAAGGAGACTGGGCCATGCTAGAGGAGGAAAAAACATTTGATTGCAGTACCCTGGGAGCTTATCTTCCCAGATGTCATCCAGTTAGATACTGGCATGTTGATTTAAAAAAAAAAGAAAAAGAAAAAAAAAGGTTTAGAATATTTTCAGTGCAAAAAGAGTTGGAAAATCTAGCACTGGGGTGGAAACATCAATGAGCAAGAGCCTGGTGGGCATTCTGCCTGGGGTTTACTCCTTTTTGGTGGCTCTGCTTGGCTCTCCTCTTCTCTCCTCCAGATGAGTCATGGACACTGTTACTGCAGCAACGCTGCTGCCAAGGAGGGGGATAAAGCTGTTGCCATGGTGCGGATGGGCAGGAATTCTGCAGGAGTAAAAACACTTAATAATTAACTTGCAGACAAACGAGGCTTCAGACTTGCCTGCCTGCTCTAGGGAAGGTGTCCCGGGCTCCCAGGCGACTGCCAGCCTGTTCTGGTACAGCCCCTTGCCTTGGTGGAGAGCAGCTGGTCCGAGCGTGGCCGTGGGCCGAGGGAGGCGAAGCCGGGACTGTGGGAAGCTGTGCCTGCTTCTGTCAATTTGTGTTTCGCATGCGGCCGCTTGGAGCGGGGAAGTTGTGGGATGGGTTAAGAATTGGGGCTGGCTGATGTGCGAGAACCTAAAATCATCGTGTAATTGCAGGACATCTACCTGAGGACTGCTAAACGTTGGGGCTTAAGGCAAGGGGTTGATTTAAATTTCTGTCCGATCTCCTTGGCTACTGTTAAAGACAGAAAAGATTTTGTGCAGTTCTTAGGCTATTTTGTCTAACAGTAGGCTTGCATTTTCTTGCGGTAGTAAAAAGGTTGAGCTTTTATCTTGTTCTTCCTGATAGTGTGGGTACTGGTGTTAGTTCTTCTTTGTGCTGTGTTGATAGGAAAGGGAAACCTCCCTGCCAAATGCCAGAAATGCTTCAAACACAGTCCTCTCTCTTAAAGCCCATTCCTTTGAGTGTTCACCATATTACGGTGGTGATGATGGAGAGCGCTAAAACTGTCCAGAGAGTACCTTTAACACCTCTATTCCTTGTACCAGCAAGCACTCAGTTGTCCAAGGCAAGGAGTCTGCGAAGAATAAAAGGCTTCTAGGAAAGTACAGGTGCTAGCAGTTTGTGCTCAGCAGCGCCTTGGAGCAATCTTTCCGTGCTGACTACAGCAATCTTTGTCTTTCACTGCAGAGGGACCTGATTTCTGTAATTACAGATCCCAGCGTGAGGGCCTTGCTGTCTGCTAGTTGCAATGCCTGGCGTTTGCGATGTTCTCTTACTATACCACGGCAATCTTTTATTAACTCCTTACCTATGGGATGTGCTAACCACTGCCCAGGAACCATAACCCCAGCCATAACGTAGGTACCTGCTTTGTTCTACCTGCGCTGAAGTAGGGGTTGTAATGGGCGGGTATGATCTCCGAGTACACTGTAACTTGTTTTCATAGAGTCAATGAATCCGCCTTAGGTGGATGTATTTGAAATTTAGAAATAGGAAAGCAGACCGAAGTAAGTGATTAACTCAGACTATTTTAGCTGAGAAAGGGCTTAGAATTAGAATGTTAAAGTATTACTTTCACCCTGAAACCTCCAAAACAAGTCTGCTCCAACACGCAGATGCACAGTTGTTCCAAAGCTAACCTGGCTTGTATACATAAACCATTTTAGATTTGTCAGGATAAAGTAAGTTATCGGAGCTGCTTTCAATCTGTGCTTATATGTGCAGTGACGACGAAGTGCTCTTTCCCCAGAGAGCAGGCTGATGCCCAGGCTGGGAAGCTGTCTCAGGGCACAGCAAGGCTGAAGCCAGAAACAATGACTTTTCTCCCAAAGATACCAACTCTGGTGGAAGCAGGGAAGGGCTCTGTTCCCAGACTGTTTTCCTAATACAGGGAAAGGCTTCGATGCCATTTTCAGTCCTGAGGGGAAAAAAAAAAGAAAGTCCTTGCATGGGACAAGCATTGATGGAGAGAAGAGGCCATCCTTTGTCTGCAGAGGGCTGGGGACAGGGGAGGTGGCACAAGGGAGGACACTCCTGTTCCAGTTAAGTGCAGACGGCTTAGTGCTCGCAAAGCTGCTTAGGACCTGCATTCTGCCAGAGGGCAGTTTTTAAAACGGGCAAAGCCTCTTATACTGAAAAGGCTAGGATTTGATGGAGGTGCTGACTATTCTCAATACCCTGAGGGGAAATGGATGCAGAAGATGCTGGCACAGGGTTGGAAAAAGGTGGTGACCTCCAAGTGCTGGGGGAGAGAAGCCTTTTCCCTGCCCTTTCCAAGCAAAGCGGTGTGAGCATTCAGAGACTGTCTTCATAGACATCAGTTTTGGATTAAAACCAGGGTAGTAGTGGAGATGCATTGGGGCTGCTCTCACTGCTGCTTGTGACCTCCAAAGAGTAGCCAGAAATACTTGGTAATTCTGGGCAGCCTTCGTTTAAATTTGCTTTCCTCTGCAGATTATTTGTGCACTCCAGAGGAAAATGTTTACAAGATAGACTTCACCAGGTTCAAAATCCGGGACATGGAATCTGGCACAGTCTTGTTTGAAATCACCAAACCAGCAGCTTCAGGTGGGTGCACACGCAAAATACTGCGTTCATGAACAAATGCTAGTGCCTGCTTCCTTTTGCCTTTTCCCACTCCTTTTACTCAATACATTTCCCCCAAACAGGAGATGCTCTCAACTGCAAGAGGGCTCGAGTCCCAGCTAGCAGCAGAAATATTATTCAGGTGTCCCTTTGTACCAGCACAGTGAACAGAACTTGTTGCTGCTGCATTCTTATGATTGCCATTTGTGATGAGAAAGGACAGATGGATGTTGTAAGCACAAGCAGAGGAGGAGGAGATCACCCTGTGTCCGTTTCTTGGCTGTTCAAAGTTTAAACTGTACATAGTTTAACTGTTAGTCTAACATCTTTCACTCAGGGGTCAGGAAAATGGTATTTCCAAAAGGGAGAAACTTTGTCAGTTGTGCAGATTAGACAAACTGAAATGTTTTCTTTTCCTTCATAACTTTTAGGTGTTACTTATAACCATCAAAGTGTTACCTGTTGCCAGTGGTAATAAAAACCCAGGGCAACAGTTCTTTTCCTGATCAAGTACTCTTTTAAATCTTCCCCATCTCCCTGCAGATGAAAGGAAGTTTGCTGTAGCTTATAGATAGCAAAGCAGCCATGCTAAGGTGAAATGGCTTGTTCAGAGTCACACTGCAATCCTGAGTCCGAGGTAGGAGCAGTAAGTCACTTTGGAAGCTAAGAAGTGTATCAAACCGAAGGGCCATCTCACAATACTCTGAGTGACCAGTAGCGGATGCCTCAGAGAGGATAGGAAGAGGGTAAGCACATATCAGACTTTCTCAGAATAGTTCCCTGGCGTATATGACTCGATAACGTATGATTGCAAGTATTTTCACTGAGTTTCTGTTTCTCAGACGACTGTGATGGAGCTTTACTTTGCGCTTTTCCAGAACGTGAACACAATGACAAGAGGGACATTGACCCCAATGCTGGACGGTTTGTACGCTATCAGTTTACCCCGGCTTTTCTTAGACTTCGGCAAGTGGGAGCCACGTAAGTAATTGCTCCTGTGCTGCTTTTTCTCGTACAGGAAACAACTGAAATCTTATTAAAAATGGCTCTTGCTTGTTGATCCTCTCAGGGAGTTGATTTAACAGGGATCTTTTGTTATCATGAGGATCTCCATACATCTTTGCTGGATGTCTTGCTTTCTCCATCCCTTTAGCTTGTTTATTTACCTCGGGAATAGGCATGGCATTGAGGAGATTAATGCTAAAAGGGACAAAATCAGGTGGACAGACTACCCAGATATTCCAACTCTTTTCTGCACGTTACAGTTTGTTTGTCAGAGGCTCTGCCGCCTTCGGAAGATGTGTCTGCAGCCTTCCACATTGCATTCCCCAAAAAACATTAATCCATAGATGCACGTGAAATGGTGAAGTAATGTTTGACGCTTTATGAACCAGAATGATCTTTGACGTGTCTGGTAGTGCTGCTTGCATCCATCAATAAACCACATCAAAATGTGACACCTGAAGTATTTTCCTGTAAAGCTTTAGGCCAAAGTTATTGCTACTGTAATACAGGTGACAAAGTGTATTGTTTCTTTAGTAGAAGTTAGTAGTGATTACTACTAACTACACTATTACTACTAACTTACTACTAACTATGGATTTATCTGCAGTTAGAGAGCGTGCATGGGGAGGTGCAAGTTTTGGCTCGTATTTCCTTTTCTGGCCCTCCAAAGAGCAGACTGGTGGGCTTCTTTGTCTTTACTGGATATTTTAGAAGGATATTGTGTCATAGCATGGCAGGTTCTTTGTTATCTTTGTTTTTCTTTACATGCACTTAAGTTTAAATTAGCAGATCTAATAAAGAGCTTTATGCCCATTGCTATTATGTCATTAAGTCCATAATACTATAATCGAGCATCAGTTGGTTTCCAGCACAAACCTATTTGTTTCAGGTATGTAGAAATCATTAGTTTGGATACATGTTGGAGTGCAGTTTGATAGATCCCTGCAGCAGCAAATGTGTGTTTCACAAGAACTGATGTACAGTAGCCTTGCTTACAAAAAAAAAAAAAAGTATTTTTGAGAGCTTGAATAAAATTCAGCATTTGGTTATGATGCAAAAGAATTAAAATTTGTTGCCAGAGACTTTATTTAGGGCAAGGTTGCACATTAGCACTTCCTGCTAATCTTAAAGATGTGCACCATTTAGATTTTGTTTTGGATGAAAAGTTAAAGTTATATATCAATTAGCACCTCTTTGGCCACTATTTGGTTAAAATGGTAAATACCGAACTTTAGATTTGTGCCAAACTAGTAACAGCGTTGTTCTGGCATACTCACAGTGTATCTATCATATGTAACTAATACCTATCTTTCCTCAAGGGATGTTTCTCGCTAAAAGAAACTTGAAGATAGTGCTGGCTGAAACTTGTCCACCTTTACCATTTACAAAGCAGGAACAGAGGAAAGACCATTTTCTGTAGATCTGTGGGGTTTTTGTGGGTTTTTTTTGTTTGTTTGTTTTGTTTTTAATTCTTCTGAAAAACAAACAAACAAAAAATAACTTGTATAAAACCCCAAAGCAATAAGGAACTTGTAGTGAGTGATCTAGTGAAGTGCCTATCCAGTATAGTTGGAGGGATCTTTCCTTCACTGAAGATGAGTTTAAGATTGGAAAATTGTCTTGCATGTCTTTTTTTTGAGTAAAAAGAATCAAAATACAGTATAATCTATGATTTGTAATGCTATGTTGTCTCCCTGTAGCGTGCTTTAAGAAAAAGCAGAAACAATAATTTGGTTAGTACCATTGCTTTGTATTTTAGAAGAGCTCTCTTCTGCCTTTCAGGAATGGCTGCGGATCTTGCTTCAGTTAGGAAAGCTATTTCAATCTTATCCTTCTTTTTCAGGGTGGAATTCACAGTAGGGGACAAACCCATTAATAACTTCCGCATGATTGAGAGGCACTACTTCCGGGATCAGTTGCTCAAGAGTTTTGATTTTGAATTTGGGTTCTGCATCCCCAGCAGTAAAAACACTTGTGAGCACATCTATGAATTCCCACAGCTCTCTGAGGATCTCAGTAAGCTCTCTTTAATTACTGGGTTGCCACACAGTGATGTTAATCTAAGGTGTTTTGAGGAAGTCCTGTCTTCAAAGCTGTCCGTAGAAAGTGGGTAGGGTAGAATACTTCCAGGTAGTTTTGTATCTGTGCTAATGTGTTAATGCAGAATTTGTTTTCTAGTAGTCTGTTTCTTTTCACCCACCAGACAGCTGCTTTTTTTTTTTTTAGATTCATAAAAGGGAAGCTTCAGTGTCAGGGAGAAAAAAGATAATTGTGTTCTAAAACAACCAAAAAATAGGATTAAAAAGATATCCAAGAAATGGATGACTTAGATGTTATGTTCTGTTTTAATGTTTGATGTGCTCTATTGATAGCTTGAGAGGTTTTAGTTTTATTGTGAACATAACTTTTATTTTCTCTCCTCTCTCCCAAGATACAATAGCATGAGTACTAAATCTGCGTGATCTTATATTCTTTACAACCCCTAATCGTGTATGTCAGCACTAATATTACAGCCTGTCGAAAACAGAGTGATGCACTGCCGCTTACTTATTGTCACACCAGAACAAATTTCTTTGGAGTTCACTGTTTTATCACTTTTTTAAAAAGAAAACAAAAAACCCCCAAACTCTAGTGTGATATTGTTTTGAGGTTAGGTAGAGCATTAACACTTTGTATGGTGCCTTAACATATTTGGATTATGTTTGAGTTCTTTAAAAGATGCTGTCAATGAATGGTTTGGGTAGGTTCCTGTTTTGGTTTTTCACTTAAGAGTTTGCTGCTCTCTGAGCAATGCCGGTAGACGTCACTGAAACCCAGAGCATTGCCTCAGTGGGGCTTCTGTGTAACACGACTAATTTTATTTTTTTTTTCTTTTTTCCCCTTGCAGTTCGAGAGATGATCCTTCATCCATATGAGACACAGTCGGACAGTTTCTACTTTGTAGACAACAAGCTCGTGATGCACAACAAGGCAGATTATTCATACAGTGGAGGACCTTGAGCAGAGGATGGACAGCCAACCTGCGCTGGCCGTCCCTTTCCTATCGACGTCATCAGGGATACCAACACCTTCAGTTCTGTTGCCTACAACGTCAACTGGACAAGGATCCACAAACCAAGGACTCTTTGCCACAGTAGGAGTTTCATGACTAAATTTGCCAGTCTCGTCTTTTTTGAGCTTTGAAGCAGACCCGGTTCTTCAGAACTTTAAGCGGTTCCACAATGCTAAATGATCTTTGGGTACCACTTCCCTAAGTTCTTTAAGTGTCTGCTTTGAAAAAAGGCCTTGTGGGACCCGGGAGATTTTGTCCTAATTCTGCGGATTTGTGTTCTTGCCCTCAAGTATCTTCTAGGACGTGATTGCTTTCTCAAAGAATGTAATCTGAGAAACTATGTGAGTGGATGGATGCAAATGCAGAGTTTTGTTTGTTTCTTTCTCTTTGTGAATGCTTCAAAGGCATGACCAATTTAACTTGTACGTTCAGTTGAAAATGTTGAGCATAACATCTTACAAAAGCAAGTTTCATCTTTAGAGTAGTTCTCTAAATAAGTATTTCATCCTTTGGTTTTGTTCCTTCTATGTAATAGTCTGTTTAATCTTGGAAACACCGAAACTCGCAAGGAAGACCAGTAGTTCAATGACAGAGCTGCTGTTAATCACGTACTGCCCTTCTACATTTCAGGTGAAGGCAAAATAGCACTGAGGGTCTATGAACCTCCATAAGCATTTTCCATTACTTTCAGTTTCTGCAAACTGATTGCAGAATAATCAGGAAAAATTGAAGGATTTTAGCTTTATTTAACATTTTTACATAGCTAACGGTCAGCCTATTCATGCTATATGTTTTCCGTGTCTATTTTCTTTCATCTCTGCTCAATACTAAGATAAGGGCTTCAGCAGTGCTTGTTAGAGTGACGCTTTCATTTGTCTAGGGCAGTTAGAGAGTGTGGCATTGCCAATTTTCCATTTGTATCTGAATTTGAAGAATGTTATGACAGTGTTTTCCCTTTGTTAAAAATGTTTCACATCGCATGAATACAGTAAGTCTAATAATGTAGGACTTTAAGGCACAGCAAAAATTTAGCAAGAGCTCTCTCTTCAGACTCTGTAAGAAGTTTAAGACCAATTTTGCCCAAGTTTCTCAGTGTGTGCTGCTTAGAAGTGCAAAGTAGCAACATCAAAAGAGTAAACCTGTGTATGCAAACCAAACCCTGAGGAGGCTGTGTGGGGTAGCCTGTTGTCATGAAACCCTTACTCTAAAGACCAGTTCACCGATACTTTAAAAAAAAAAAAAAGGCAGTTGCAGTTTGTAGATATTTCTATAAATACTTGATGTCTCCATGTCTAATTCTGTGAGTTTAAGTGGAACATTATATGTTAGCCTCAGATAGGTGTGATTGTAATAATTTTTATAAAATACCATTTCTAGTCGTGATTAACATCTTCCTAGTCACAGGCTAAGTCAAACAGAACTACAAATGGTTCCAAGTGTGGCCATCTGCCTAAGAACGGGGGGAGGAATTTGTGCTCTTATTGGGGTTGTGGTCACTGTTAAATGATTTGTACTTGGCTTGGCTTTCTTTACTTCTGAAAGAGGATTCAGTTTTCTAAAGAAAATGCAGTGAGTTTAGGTTACAGCACAGAATTTTTTATTCAGATTGATAGCTAAGAAAGTACATAAAGTTCACTGATTTTACACAACTAGTATCTTGTAGTTATCATGACGAGACTTGTATTTATCACTATTTTTTGTCTCTAGTGTATTAAATCATACAATTAGCCTACGGCTGACTTATCTGTTTGAGAGTTACAAAAAGTTTCCTCATTATTTGTACAATGCTTTGAGCTACTGATTGTTAAGTTTTATAGCACAATAATTACTAGAGGTGAAAATAGTTTCAAAAAGTGTAGGTCTTCCCCTCTTTTCTTTTTTTTTTTTTTTTTTTTGCATCAGGGCTGTTAAACTATCTATATATTCAAGGACATTTTGCAAGCTTAAGTATTTATGAACTTTGTTCCAACTCTTGAAGGAGAAAATATACGGATTTGAAGACAGAAGAGAGTGTGTGTGTTTATAACTAGCGCCCTATACAGGTTTTTTAGGGGTACCTTTCAACTTGCACCTGCCGTTCATAATAATCACCTCTGTGCATAAGATTTTCAGAAGAGTCCTAGCAATGGTGCTTGCCCAGAACTGCCAGTCATACATTTCAAACAGATGTATGGATATATGTTTCAAACAGAAATATGCACCTTGGTATATTTTGGTGAGAGCAGTTGTTGTACTTCGGTGCAGATTCTTGGGTTAGGGTACTGAGTATCCTCTCTGTATAGCATATCGCTGTCAGCTGATCTGAAATAGTCATGTTCTGCTCCTTTGTTATGCTACCTCCTCTTAAGACTTTGGACTTCAAAAGCAAAAGTAATTCCATAAAAATATTACTGTAATCAACAAAAACTTGAGTAGTAGACGCGCCCCTTTAAAAAAGAACCTAGAGAAAGTTACCTTGTTCCCAATCCTGCGGTATGTTGTTGAATGGACTTCCTGACACCCTACATTTTAAGGTAGGTTTGAGGTTAAACATAAGAGGATGAACTATCTGCTATTGGTCCCCTGAATTCTGCTACCTGTTCTGATAATTCAGATTCTATGGCTAATAATTTCAAGCTAACAGAAAACTTAGTGTAAATCTGCTATTATTAGGAATACTTTAAAACAGAAACAAATATTGGACACCTTCAATAAAATAAATTTCAATCTATTTTAGCTTTAGCTTTTCAGTTTGAGGAATGTCACTTTTTTTAAAAGTCCCCACAGTTTGCCACAAATAACAAGTTCCGATTCTTAAACCAAGGCAAATAACAAAACTTTCTGTGGGAAGTGTAATGAAGGTGCTTTTTTTTCTGTATTCCACTGCAACAGTTATCACTGTTACCTCTCTGTTTCACTTGGAAACACTTTGTTAGCATTTCTGTAAGGTCATAGACATCCACAATGTTTACAAACACGTGGGAATCCCTGTCCAAGGGAGAGGTTCCATTGCTTTTCTACCTGTTTATGTGTTGTGTTGACATGAGACATGATATTGCTGCACATAAACAGCACTGGAAGAGTGTTTCTTCAAAAACTTTAGCCGTACAATTGCTGTTCGAATGCCACTTCTGTCCTTCTTTTGCATTAAAACTACGTGCAAAATTTAAAGACCATGCTTTGTACAGCACTGAACAACTTCAACTTTCATCAGAAAGGGAGCCGAGAGCTCTCAGTTCAGTTGTAAAATGAAACCCACATTTTTTTTTTACCTTAAATTGGCAGCTGATTCTTATTATAAACCAGTTGAAAATCAAATCTTAACAGCAGTGTTCACAGAAGAATTTGTCACTCTCCTTGACTAGTTATTTTGTATTTTAATATTAATCATTATTGGGTTTACTTTGGAAGTTCATCTACAAAATCACTGAATATTGGCTCTGGAAAAATAATTATTGTATTTTTTTCTTTGGTCTCATTTTAAAAAATATTTTAATTAGCACTACAGCTCTGTTTTAATGAGCCAGTCTGGAAATTCAGGATCTGACTTTCTGAAAGTGAAAGAAAACATCTAAGAGCTAAGCAAGATTATCTGCTAATAATAATGAGCTGTTTGCCATCATAAGACAGTATTATATGTGTACTTTACAGAGTGAATTAATCTTAGAAAAAGAAACTAAGTCTCTGTGAGTGCTAACAGTGACATATTTTTTCTGAGAGACAAGGAAATTATAATTCAAAACATTCTGTCACTTTCTCAGTCTTGGGTTCCTTTAAACTTCAGGTTTTTTAAAGAAAAGTAACAGTAATGCATTTGTGGTTAACTGCCATGCTGCACAGTCTAATAATTCACAGACTTTAGTGGCAGAAAGAGAATAACTTATTTTTAAAATTAACACATCAAGTATAAGTATGGTTTAAATTCTATAAACTTTGTTTTCAGATCAGTGACAAAAGCCAAAATTGTTTCTGTGAATGTATCCTTTATGTGGTGACATTTATGAAATAACTGAATAATCCACTCTCCCTGACTCAGAAGAAATTTTTTTTTTTAATGTAGAAAGTCTCTTCAGTAGTTTGAAAGCAGTATGTTGGGGTTTAATTCTTGCTCATAATCTCTCTCTACGTCTTGTTTTTGAGCAGGTCAGTAAGATAGCTCTATTTGCCACCTCTGTCCTCCATTTGAGTTTCATTTCAAAAACTTGTGTAGAGTGTCAAAGCGGTGGCTGTCGTGTGTGAAACACTGCAGGCTACCAAGTTCCAAATTCCTTCATTTTGAGCAAACAGACTATTAAAGTATATTGAGGCAATAGTGCTACGTGTTGATCCATAAAAACTAAATTTCAATCTTCATGACAAAAATTAAAGGGAACGCTTATTCATGCAAATATTATTTGGGGGCTATTTAAGGTAAGAAAATGCTAATATCCAACTCTTGTACTTAATAAGTGTTATAAAAATGTTCTATTAATTATTCATAACCTGCAAAAATATGGTTAACAGCTCATTTTTAATTAGATCTGGTTAGGAATGAAACTATAGAAATTATCACTGTCCCTTACAGTGGAGGAGAGCAACTAGAACTGTAGGTACTGCATAAAAGCTAGACAGGTTTACACGCATTGACTCTCATGGGAGAAGTTATCTTTGGGGAAAAAATGAGGGAGAGGGTCAAGGACAGGGAACGAGGTAATTTCAGCTAATTGGAACCAAGAGCTTTAAGGCTGTGGTAAGCGTCAATGCTTTTTCTCTTGAGTTTGAGATAGCTGGTAGCTTCTGTTAGCAGTTCTTTTCTATACCCCCAGCATAAGCACTACCTAAGTTTATACAAATGTTGCAGTGTTAATCAGATATTAAATCTCATTGACAGTTCATATAATTTTCTAAACATGGAAACGGATTTGAAGAGTGTGCTACTCTAGGCCTCAAGTTGCAGCTCAGTTGTTTTTTAAATCGCAGGACGGTCTGA